GGATGAAACCTCTATTACCAGGTTGTTTGGGCTCCTGAATGTTAATGGATGACAAAGGTGGGGTTGGGTTATTTTAATTACATTGAATCTCTGGCAACAGGGGAAGGCATAGACCCATGAGGACTGAAGGGCAAAGTTGACCATGTTTCATATGTTACAACCATATTCAGGGTACCTGTCACGATCTGGGATCAGGCTCGGAGTCCAGTAGCTGAAACAGCAGGCAAAGTCGTAGTCAAACAGGACGTGTTCGGTACACAAGCAGACGGTAGTAGTGGAGGAGCAGGCAGAAGCGTAGTCAGAGATCAAGCCGAGGTCAGTAGCCAAAGGTATCGGGTATGAAGTGGAAGACGATGAGAGTAGTCGGTGAATCAGCAGCCAAAGGTCGGTACACGGGGAAGCAGTATGAGCGGATTGTATCACAGGAGGAGCAAGGAAGCAAGATATTGGCAGGAGCACAATAATCTGGCAAACAGGAAGTGCAGAGGCGGGGCTTAAATAGGAAGTTCAAGGGAGGAGCAAGGAGTTCAGAGTTCAGCAGAAACTAGGTTTATCTGAGGATTACACAGGAGCTCAAGGTAATAAGTGTACCTGCTGCCTAGAACCAGGTGACAAGGCACGCATGCTTGATGGCTCTAGGAATGATGGGACATGTAGACCTGAGGAGGGTAATCAGGAGGCTTTTGATAAGCTTCTTGACCAGGAGTTTGGGGAAGTGGTACAAAGAAAGCTGGAAGCTGCAGCAGTAAAAGATTAAAATGTGAGTGCTTATTGGCCTTGCTGTAATTTATAATTGCTTGTCTAGTAAGTATTTAATTGGTCAAGAGGGATGTATTTATAATTAAAAGCTAAACTTTCCTGAAGGGTCTACTGGTTGCTCATACGATGTCCCAGGGCCTTTCTTTCTCTTGTCCCGGGTGGCCCTACAGGAAAATGGGACTGAATCTCTGGAAAGGAAATAGAAACAGGATTCTCTTTGTTGTTGAATCAAAGTGAGTAAATAAACTTGATGTAATAAGCGAGATGTGAGTAACATTTTCAGTAGCTGGACCTCCATTCTGTCTTATAATTGCACAAAAACAACCGTAAAAATCTACTAGTTGTAGCTACCTTGTGATGATTTTAACAGTCTGGCAAAAAGAGAATGGGGACATATTGGGCAATCCAGTGGGTAGTCTGAAACTGTAAAAAGTTTGATCTAAAGGCCATTGGTTGGAATGGAGATGTTGAAGACTGAATCTCTATTACAAGTTATTATAAGGGTGCAACCTTTGCTCTCATGTGTCGGTTCTTGTGCTGTTTTATACTGGTATTCTCTCCCTGCTTGTTCCGCCAGGGAGGCAATACAAAGAAATAACAAAAAAAGTCTTAAAATATAATTCCAGAGTGGAGATGTAGACTATTACACATGCTCATGAGTGAGTGACTCTCAATTAGGACCAAGCATCAGTTATAGTTTACATGTTTAGTTTTAGTAAAATGTAACTTACAAGTGTCTGTTAACTCTCAGGAAGGGATGCTAATACTTTCCCCTGACCATATCTTCATCAGATTTGTTCTCCAGAAGGATGGCATCATTCTTTGTTCAGGCCTCAATTAGGGTCATCAACTACTTCCTGAACTGGCATGGTGGCCCTAAGATGACACAGTCCTGGTACCTATGTGATAACCTTTTTCTCTGGCTCAGATCAGCCTCAATCTTCTGTCATTCACATTGGGAGCTACAGAAAGTTACAGTGGGTTACTGTGGGGTAACTGATGGCTG